TGAATTTGAAACTTACTCAATTGCGTTTTTTATAATAAATGGAATTTTAATAGGTAAATCATCTTCAAGAACCGTCCAAAAATAGCTCGTCATTTTGTATTTATACGAAAGAAAATTAACTGAAACTGTGCTTTACATAATTAAAATATAAAATCAAAACTGTTTGACAAATTATGGTCGATTGTTTGTTGTTCACAATGTGAAGTAAATGCGCATATGTCAGTAGTAATTTTCCTATTCTTTAGTAATTGCAAAAGTATGCGGTTAATTGCACTGAAAAGGTAGGTAATAGCAAGATAATTTTCGGAGTGATATACCCCTTGCTGTATTGGCTGGCGAAAGAAGAAGGAGAAAAGTTACCTTTTCCATGAAAGTCCTATAAATATAAAATCCAAAATAATTCGATAACATTTAAAATGGGCTGAATGAAAGCAAAGATTTTTGATCAACAGTGTAAAAATCTGGGTAAAATGAATGAATCTATATACCAAATATTCGATGAGCAGAAAAACGATGAAAAACACGTATAATAAATCCATTGTTTAATTTCAAATGAAATTATCAGAACTACTGAAAGCGACTTTCGATCATCAATCAACAAAAAAACAAAAAAAAAATCAAAAACGAACTTATTATTACTTCTTTATATTCATGGCGCAATAAAAGTCACAAATACATTATTTAAACATACGTGTAACCTAACACGTGCAAATAGATTTAAAAAAAAAAGTGAAGTACAGATCAGCGGTAGCTATTCTTTATTTATTTATTCACCGTCTGATCATATCTGAAACCTTTTGACATTATACGAAAACAAAATTGGATAACCGTGAAAAAAAATTATGCCACACTGAAAATACTGACGATTAACAGTTGGCTTATACAACAAAGTGAAACTGAAATAATTATTAAAAATAATACATTCTAAAGTCATAAAATGTTGTGTTAAAAATTCCAAAAAATATTTTCCAATCATTTTTAAATGGGCCATTTTCTCCTCCAAGATACAGCTTTTTTCCTGAAGCTAGACTCATTGTTTAGCATCTCCAGCTAAATCAAACACAGCGATGAAGTGCATTTTAATATTGTTCAAAAAAAAATAAGCTTTGGTAAATGATTGAAGTGATTATCGTAGTTTGCAGTCTTTTCATATGGCAATGGGTCTGGTTTCACGGCAGTTCAACGACTTTTATTGATTCGCATGGTTTCGGTTGGATTGTGGTGTGATTCATTATAAATTACACAGGATTCGACAAGCCGCTCCAACTTTTTAATGAATGAGTTGCTGAATAAGGGTGACATAATGTCTTCGATCTGTAATATGCAAAAGGTAAGATTACATTATTGAGATGGCAATTTGTATTAAAACCAGTAGGTAAGTTTTTCTCTACACGACTTACATTATCTTGACATATTCCGATCGCAAATACCAACTCCATATCATCGTATTCAACTGCCAAAGCATCCCCGACATTTTTGCTAACATTTTTTGCTTTTTTTAACGCTTCTTGTAATTCTGCTATTCCAAGCAAATCAAACGCACCACTGACATTTTCACGCAAATCAAATTCCACAGCGGTTAACAAATTTTCTAAGTACGACATACTTTCTATTGTTTTTTGAATTTCGATCTGTGATTTTTCTGATTTATCGACACCTGCTTTTGTCACACGTTCTAATTTGAGTTTGATGTGTTTTTTATCAGCAACTGACAAGGCTGGTTGTTTCAGTTGTCCAATCGCTTCCTGTATACTTGAATTAACCAAATGACACCAGCTCAATAGCGGCGTGACGGCAAACACGTAATGATTTCGTGATTCAACGTTTTTCGATCTCAATTCGCTTATTTTTCTCCGCGCATTGTCTTTGTAATCGAGTAGAATTTTGTTGAGTATTTCAATGGCATCATTCAATTCAGTCCATGGTACTTTTTTATCTAATTTGTCATTGAATATGTCGGCTACGTTGTTTAATTTTCCAAGTAGATTTTCAATATCATGCGTATCCGAAGTGGCTATACTGACTGCACAATAGTAAAAAAAAAATAAAACCACACAGATATTTGAATGTCTTCATTTTAACGAACAATGTATGAGCTATGTGACGATCACTGCACAACTAACAATATTTTTCCATGCCATTCGTATTTATTTATATATGTACGTCTTTTCTAACTACATAACTTTGTTCGGTTATTTGTTATCATCGAGTATGCTTGTTTTGGCTGTTTAAAATTTTTTGGAACCTTTTAACAAATAAACATACACGATAAGATAGAGAACAATTACTGCA